CTGGGCCCAGGAGTTCAAGGATGCAGTGAGCTATGATCACCCCACTGCAATCCAGCCTGGGCAACAGAGCGAGACCCTGTGTCTAAAAAATAATAATATAAAAATATACTGAGACTATATGAGATAATTGAAAGCATGTAAACTGAAGAGGCATTTGATATCACAGAACAGTTCAACTTTCAAAAACATCTGTGATCACTTTATTGTGGTATTTTAAAGAGGAGGTCCTTATCTGTTAGAAATAAATGCTGAGGATTTACAGGTAAAATGTGTCTTGGATTTGTTTTAAAATAATTCAGAAAGGAGGTGAGGTGGGAAGAAAAGCATGAATGGCGAGTGGATACATAGGGAAAATAAGATGAGGTTTTTTGTTTGGTTTTTTAAATTTCTTGCTCTGGCATTAAAAAAAAACTAAGTTCCACTAGCTGTCTGACATTTGAGTATATGAGCTCATTTCTCCAACCTGTTTTCCTCACCAGTAAAATGAAGCTAATAATATTTGTCACAGTATTGTTTTAAAGATCAAATGAGATAATCCCTACTAAACTGAGTACAACACCCAACATACAGTTAAGTACCGTACTAAATAAATGGTTGCTCTTATCATCACTTCAAACTGGTGGGATTACACACTGTCAGTATAATCTCATAATATACACACTTAAATCTGTGCAACGAATTGTACGTAAGGCAGCTTCGATCTAGGATTGTGTCAAACTCTGCCCCACTGAAAACTTGGTTTGCTCAAAAACCTGCAATCTCTACATACTATTAAGGGATAGAGAGGACTCCTCCTTCATCCAGATACGTATCAACAAAGAAGTCAGGATGCATTGCATTTTCTCTATCTAAACTGCTCCTAAACTGTAAATTTACACACTCTCTGAGAACATGGCATAGTGCCGGGGGGGTCCCCAACCTCCAGGCTGTGGACCAGTACTGCCCCTGTGGCCTGTTAGGCGCCCAGTTGCACAGCAGGAGGTGAGCCCAGGCAAACTGAGCGAAGCTTCATCTGTATTTACAGTGGTTCCCCATCAGTCCCATCACCGCCTGAGCTCTACCTCCTGTCAAATCAGTGGCAGCATTAGATTCTGCATTATGGTGAGTTGTATAATTACTTTATTATATATTACAATGTAATATATAATAAAGTGCACGATAAATGTAATGCACTTGAATCATACCCAAACCATCCCATTACTCCCCCCTTCCAACCTGTGGAAAAACTGTCTTCCATGACACTGGCCCCTGGTACCAAAAAGGTTGGGGACCGCTAGCATTGTGGCCTTCCTGGTAGTCCTGTCTCGACAGCTAATCTTAACGCCAAGGAACCTGAAATCCCATCCACTTACTAACTAGCTGGCAGGATCATTCCAAATTACGTTGGAGAGAGTTCACTTGGCAAATTTTCTATCACTTACGGATCAGCAAATGGCAAGTCTTCACCAATGTTTCTCTGTTTCCAGAGCAATGGCAAAGAAAACTGAGTTTGCATCCTGTCGTCCTGCCTCGTTTACAGGCAGTCTATTTAGGGTGTTTAATTGTAGGACACAACGACCCCCAGACATATGGCAACCTGAGGAGGTCTGGGGCTTGTCTCTCATCCTGCGGCTGATTTGTCCCAATCTCTAACAGTGCTCCATCACCACTTCCTGTATCTGCTTAACTCCGCCAGGGAAAGGGATAGTCTAGCGAGCACACCCCTGCTGGGGGCTCAAGCCCTCCGCGGGTGGTCCCAGAACTGCAGGGGATGCAGGCCCAGGGGAAAGTATGGGAGAGCGCAAGGCTGACAGGGCGGGTGGGCAGGGGATCCGGGGACCGGGGCGAGTGAAGCGGGGACGAAGGTTGGGAGGGCGCGTGCCGATGTGAAAAAACTCACAAGGTTCTGAGCGCATAGGGAGATAAGGTTCTAAGAGAAAAATAAAGAACCGGAGAAAAGGGGAGTAAAATTCCAGGAGAGGAAATTCTGGGGACAAGAATTAGAGGGACGCTGGGTGAAAAAGGGCATGTCAAAGAGCCGGCAGCGCGGCGGAAGGGACGCCTGGGGAGCGCAGTCTCCAGGACAGCGGCGAGCGCCGGCCCGCGCCGTTCCCCAACCCCTGTCCTCACCACTATGAGGGCTGCGGCCACCAGCGCGACACCGAGCACCGCCAGCTGTAACAAGAGCGAAGCCATCCTCCATGCCGAGGCCGCCACCGGCCGCCGCCCTATCCCGGGCCTACACACACGCGGAAGCGCGCCCTTACAGTCCCGCCCCCCGCCGCCAGACGCCGCGCCGGCCGGGCGCCCGCCGCCCACACTGCCCCCGCGTGGCGAGGCGGAGAACACGCAGTCTCGTGTGCTAAGTGCCCAGTCTGTGGAGAAGCGAGCGCTAGGTTCCCTAGTAGGGTTACCCCATTTAGCAAGTAAAATAACAAGGCGTCCCCATAATTTGCATTTCAGATAAGAAACTAAGAATTTTTAACAGCCTTATTGAGATAGTCACATACCATACAATTCATCCGTTTAAAGGCTTTTGGTCTATTAATTTTTTAAAAATTGTGGTAAACTAAACCAAAATTTGCCATTTTAATCATTTTAAGTGTACGATACAGTCAGCAGCATTAAGAACACTCACAGTACTGTGTAGCTATCACCACTATCTAGCTCTAAAACTTTCTCCGCTCCCCCCAGCTTATGGTAACGACTAATAGCATGCATTACTTGGGGCATACTCATACTAAAAAAAATTACTGTTTATCTACATTTAAGTCTAATTGGATGTCCTGTATTTTATCTGGCAGCTCTACCTAGGCGCGAGATGGAAGCGTCCAGCCACGACATAGTCTAGAACACACGCTGATCCTCTGGAGCCAGCTCAGGACCTGCAAAGTGTAACCTGGTGGGGATAATGAGCGCACACAAAGTTCACGTTTCTCAGGTCTGGAGCAGGGAGCCCTTTACCTCCTGGGAAGAGGCAAGCCCAGGGCCCAGCCTAAGACACAGGCGGGAAAAAGACAGAGAAATATTGGAATAATACGCCACATGCAATATTTGATTTTTCGCTATAAATCCTGTTTTCTCTTGTTGGCGTTACCCTGAACTACAGAACCAGCTTTTTTCCAAAGAGGGACACCTAGTCACATCTCTAAGACCAGATTCGTCAAAATACGTCCAAGGCAAGGAAACCTAGAGGGGCGTCTGGCTAGGGAAAGTCGAAGCGAAGGCGGGCCCAGGACCACTCTTGTTGCATCCCGGCCTTGGGCCTCTCCTGCTGAGGGAGCAGGGCCCGGGCGTCGGTGTCGAAAGTACGGCGGCGGAGAGGGCGCTCGGGCGGTACGGCCGGCGCACGCGCGCGGAGGCGGAGCGGCGCAGGCGCAGGCGCGCGGGCGGGAAGATGGCGGCTGGGTTCAAGTGAGTGTCGGTGGCTGGCGGATGGTGTTTCCTTTAACCCTAAACTGAGATTTTTTCACCCGGAGGCTAACGCCGCCAGGGTTCCTTTTCTTTCTCCGCCGAAGCAGGAGACGGTGGGAGGGCCTTCGTAATTGAAGAATATGCTAAATTTCAGTTACAGTGACAATGAATATATAACTTTTTTCCCCCATTCCCTGAATTAGCTAATAAGATGTAACTCTTTCATGATCACTAATTTCAGAATCCCTACTTTACAGCAAGAATGAAAGGATTAATTTAACACCTGGACTAATCCTCTTTTAAGGACTTCAAAGGGCTGTGGACTCCAATCTAGTTATTTAGAGTCACAGCAGTGAATGTGATTGCTACTACAAGGATTTCTACTTTCTGTAATTACTTTTAGTTACAACTTGTGGAGATTTATGCAGCATCACCACATTTAAGATCTTTCCCAGTTTCTGGATTTATGTTAAGATTCATTAACTTACCTCAGATATATTTTAACACGTGTTTCAGAACCGTGGAACCTCTGGAGTATTACAGGAGATTTCTGGTGAGTAAAGATGATAACATATGCTGCTTTTAAAGATAAACTTCAAGTAATTTAATTCATTTGAAGTGAGGTTTAATGTGTTTCCCCTGGTGTTCTGTAAAATATGTAATAGATACTGAGTAAAATATGTGACAGATGTAATCTATATTCATATAAACATTATATTTGTTTAGAAAGAGAACTGCCGTCCTGATGGAAGGGAACTTGGTGAATTTAGAACCACAACTGTCAACATAGGTGAGGATATATTTTCAACTATATGACATTTCCAAGTCTTATTCTGTGTACCACTTAAACAGTTTTTCCGCTAAATTCGAACATATCTGAGCGATTTGATGATTTTGTGTCAAGAGATTTTTATCTGTACAACAGCTCTGTGACTAAATGAAAAATGATTAAGTCAAATTCAAGGACAAATGAATAACTCTTAAAACTTTAATTTTAAATGGTGTAAATAATTATAAAATGAATGACCTGAACATGGAATAAATTTTCATAAGCCACTAAGATGTGTAGCAAGGTAATCATAAACTTTAGCAAGCTAAAATTTAATTTTAATTATCATATAGATAATTCTGTAGCTGTTTTCCTTCTATGGAGTTTTCATTTTGCTTAAATACTTATCTTTTCAGGTTCAATTAGTACTGCAGATGGTTCTGCTTTAGTGAAGCTGGGAAATACTACAGTAATTTGTGGAGTTAAAGCGGTATGTTTAACATATGTTCTATTGAGATTTGAGTTACCAAATTGGCTTCATATATTTATTAGATTGTAATGTACACCTATAATTCTGCTGATAAAGCAGTCAGGTATCAGTTTTTTAGTATTTTAGTTTCCCAAGAGCTTTCACCTATCAATATTAGATAATACAACCTGTCTAATGACTCATTATAATTTATGAATATTTGTCCAGTGGACTGAAATGAAACTTTTTAAATCTTTATCACTTTTAATTTTTAAAGAATTTGGTTGTATTGTTTGAGAAATTGAGATTTTTGGTGACATCTCTTAAGCCAGGGATGGCATTTAATCTGTGTAAATGTGTGGAAAATTGAGATTGTTCAAAAGAAAAGTTTGAGGAATAGGAGCTACCATCTACTGAGTACCTGCTGTGTTCCAGGCACCTTATTAGGTGCTTTACAGAATTATCCAGTTTAATCTTCAGAACAATCATTTGTTATTTCCCTCTGTCTCCTGTTTTACAGACAAGGCTCGTAAGTAGAAATTATAACATAAATCTGACACCCAAGCCTATGCTTTTTTGACTACACTACACCCTGTGTTGCTTAACCTCAGTTGAGATTCTTCCTCAATAAAGCTGGGGTAACATCTAACAGTAATATATAAGTACTTCTGGCCAGGTTTTATGCTAGAGACTTAATGGCATATCTCATTTGACCCTTAGGAGTAGACATTACAGATGAGGAAGTTAAAGGTTAGAGGTTAAATAACTTGCCCCAAGTCTCAGCCAGTAAATGTGTGACATTTGAACTGGGATAGTAGTGACTGCATAGCTTTTGCTCTTGACCACTGTACCACCAGTTCCTAAATCTGGCTGTTACACCACCTGGGGATTAAATTCAGATTCTTATTTACTGAATGAGTAGAAGGGAGGGTGGGGCAGAAACCCAATTAAAAGATCCCCAGAGAATCTTGATGAGCAGCACTATAGTCCACTATACTATACTGCCTTCTTACCTTGCAGACATACTGTGAGGTTCAGTACTAACGTCCTTGGAGCCCCTAACACAATTCCCCAAGCATAGCTCATGATGTGGTAGTTAACTAGCTAAGATGGTCTTTGGTAGAGCCCTGCATAACTGATTGCTAAACTATCTTCACAATTTTTTAGTAGCTTTGTTCAGTAGGAAACATTTCTTTTACTTTTGTAGGAATTTGCAGCACCACCAACAGATGCCCCTGATAAAGGATATGTTGGTAAGTTAAATGATTTTGTAATTCTAATACAAATCCTTTAATATGTTTAATAATAATTGTACTTTAAGTCCTAGTAGTTGAATCGAGGTAAAGAAAATTATTCCTAACATTCAGAAATACATAGTATTGAATCACATTCCCCGAAGTTTTCTATGTATTTTAGCAGAAGATAACATAATAGGAAGATAAGAGGACTTCATAAATTTAACCCTTATCAAACTTGGTCAAATTTTGTTTGTACATTCAGATGTTATCAACCAAGAAAATAGAATTTTTTTAGCCAAAGGGCTGTCCATGCAAACTTTTGTTTCCGTAGAGATTCTTCATTTCAGAACACTATGCGATTTTTTTTTTCTTGTTTTGGACCATTTGTTCTTTATGGTAAGAACCAACATTTTTCAAATGTAAAAAAGCTGGGTGTGAGCAGAGGGGCTATCTTCTGTTAACAGATGGAGCTGTTCTGAAAGAAATCAGGAGAACTTTGGTGAAGGATTTAGGAGGAATGAGGCCTAATACAGATCTTAAAAAAATCTGCATGGAAGAAAAGTCAGAAAAATATAAATTTCATTTTATCTAAGCCTGGGAGTCTTACAGAGACCAGATAGAATATAATTATGATGTTACAATGCATTCTACTTGGAAAAGCCTACATTCATGGCCACAATTGCCTTTAGTGTGTATTGCTAATACCTTTAACACTTCAGTAAACCAGAGGGTTTAGTTTAGTTCACAGCTGTAGAGTGTTTCTTTCAGTTCCTAATGTGGATCTACCACCCCTGTGTTCATCAAGATTTCGGTCTGGACCTCCTGGAGAAGAGGCCCAAGTGGCTAGCCAATTCATTGCAGACGTCATTGAAAAGTAAGACCACATGGTAAAATTTTACTATGATTCATTTTCAGATAGTTTTTGACCTTTCATTTACTGTGCTCTTTTGTCATTAAATCAAGTTCACAGATAATTCAGAAAGAGGACTTATGCATTTCTCCAGGAAAGGTAAGAGGAATAGAGAAGCTAGAAGTTTTATTACTTCTTAAGTGTTTTTTTTGGGGGGGGGGGAGTGAACAGGGAAATCTCAACACAAACCACAGTAGCCTTAAATGTGGATGTATTGTAGATTTTAGATGGAATTCGGTAAAAAAAAAAATCAGTCTTAAATTATATTATTTATAAAAAACAAACAAGTTTGACTGACTTACTACCTGTCTGGGAGCTACCTTTTAAGCTGAGCTAATTTTTTCCCCTTAACTTTTAGAGAAAAATGCAGTCATTTTTTATTGCTTATAGCAGATTAATTTCTGATCATGCTAACGTGTTTAAGGTGAATCCACACAGTGTTCCAAAAGTTTGAGAACATAGGACTAGGTTGATTAGAACCTAGAGAGCTTTTCCTATTAGATCATATACTGATTTATTAGCGCTGTAAAACCTAAACGCTTCATGTATTAACATTTCTATGGGAAAATACATTTTGAGTTTTAGCTAAGGCTTTCAAAAAACATTTCCCTTATCTGCTAACCCAGCAACAATGAAAATTTCTTCTACATCTATTATGATTCCCCTTGAGGTGAATGGAGATGTTTTGTTACTTGTCAGCTTGGTAGTCAAAAGCCAGCTTTCACAAAACCTGTCCACTCTCTTTTGATTTTCTGTTGTATATAGGGAAAAGCATTTTTTAAAGTTTTCGAGCCCTGAAGATTATTATCTTGCTTGTCTGAGGGTTGTGTGGTTCTTAAGCCTAAGCAAATTGCATGTTTTACCGATCAGAAGGCTTTAATTTCCTATTGTGTGTACTCTATTTTAGCTTGCTTGGGTTCTATACTGTGATCTCATTTGCCTTGACTATGATGGAAACATTTTGGATGCCTGCACATTTGCTTTGTTAGCGGCTTTAAAAAATGGTAAGCAACCTTTAAGGCACTGTTCCTATTAATGGGTCAGAATGTTCTGCTTAGTTAAACTTTTAATGTACATTTGCTCTATAAACTTTTAAAATGATTTTTAAGATTTAGCTATCATTCATGGGTTTCTAAATTAATGAACATAATACTGACATAACTTTCCAAATATACTTAGAAGTTTTATATTTTCTAACTGAATGCCTTTTAGTGTTGCTCTGACTGTATCCATCTATTAATATTTGGGTTAGGACTACAATCCTTCCCAAAATAGCATTAATATGGGGTAATAAGAGTTGTGACTACAGGCTAGGTGATTGGTGAAGATTTGCAAGTATTCTCTAAGTTTTTTTATGTTATGTTGCTAAAAGGAATAGAATGGATTGTATTGTTTTTACTGTTAGGCCATAGTAATAGTAAATTCCCTCAGTAAGAAGTCTAGGTAAACTGATTTATTATGGATTTTAGTGACTTCTGCATATTCTCTATCACTGCAGATAATACAACTAACTGGAGGTAGAAAAAGTACTAAGCATGGCATTATTACTGTATAGTTTTTAAAGCAAGGACTGAAGTTTGAATTCTGGCTCTACCATTCTATGCTGGTTACGTTATCTATAACAAATGGGGATAAATAGTACTAACTTAGTAAGACTGTTGATGATTAATGAATACAATTAAAATGTGAAAATGCCTAAAATAGTACCTGGCATATAGAAAGTGGCCAGACATGTTATCTATTAATAATCATTTTGATTAAGCTAGGTGTGGTGGCACATACTTGTAGTCCAAGCTACTTGGGAGGGTGAGGCAGGAGGCTTGCTTGAGCCCAGGAGTTTGATTCCAGCCTGGGCAAGATAGCAAGACACCTGTCTCTAAAAATTAAAACAAAAAAAATTTTGGTTTTTTAAAACTTTTTTTAAAAAAAATGAACTAAGTGCTAAGCAGGAATGGCGTATGTTCTGAAAAACAATATTTATATCCACTAGATTTACCTTAGTTCTAAGATACTTTTTTTAAAAGAATGTTCTGGACAAGTAAAATGGAGGGAAAAGTGAATTAACAAAGCACAGAAACTATTTAATAGTAGAGACTGACTTTACATATTTGCCCTTTTCCTAGTACAGCTGCCTGAAGTTACTATAAATGAAGAAACTGCTTTAGCAGAAGTTAATTTAAAGACAAAAAATTATTTGAATATTAGAACTCATCCAGTTGCAACTTCCTTTGCTGTGTTTGATGAGTAAGTTAATCAAATGTAAAAAACAATTTCTATATTTACGGTTAAGGCAATGGATTGTTATTCTGCCTTTTAACTCTTCAGGAAATGCCTAAGGTGATCCTGTATCCTAGTTTGCCCTGCCATTGTGTTTATACTTGTCCCTGCACAATTATTTCTGGTCAACCTGTCCACTTTCATAAACATTCTGATTTGAATGATCAATTCTACGCTTACTTTACCTTTTCCTTGGTTTACTTAACCCTGTGTGATGTTAATTTTCAATTCTTTCACTAAAGACTTAACCTGAATCTATCTAAAAAATTTGTAAAGTACTGTAATATATTTACAAATTGAAGAGCAAAATTTCTTGCAAGTATTAGATTATAGGTTGCTATTATCTTTTCTGTTTTCCTACCAGTTCTATTCTAGCTCTTGTATCTGACATCAATACCTAGGCTAAAATGCAGGTAGTATATTTAGTATTCTTTTAAAGTAAAATTTGTTGCACAGATTGGTAACTTATACTTTTTCTTCTTATAGCACTTTGCTCATAGTTGACCCTACTGGAGAGGAGGAACATCTGGCAACTGGAACCTTAACAATAGTAATGGATGAGGAAGGCAAGCTCTGTTGTCTTCACAAACCAGGCATGTTCCTGCCACTTCAAGTCTAAATATATATATGTGAAAACTCAGTGTGAGCTTTATATTATGGAGGGCCAAATGAAATGTGGGATATTTTATTATTTACCTAATGTAAATTTACTGTAGTTTCCTTGCCACCTGAAATTCCTTACATTTTTATGTTGTTTATCAGTGATTCTTAAACTTACGGCATACATCAGAATCCCCTGGAGGTCTTGTTAAGACATTAACTTGGAGTTCATGAGACCATACCCCTGATTTACATTTTCTATTTTTTTTTGTTTTACAATTTGACATGATGTTGATGTTTTACAAAGTAAGATAACTGATTAAAGTACTGGCACAATTTTTCAGGTGGAAGTGGACTGACTGGAGCTAAACTTCAGGATTGTATGAGTCGAGCAGTTACAAGACACAAAGAAGTAAAAAAACTGATGGACGAAGTAATTAAGAGTATGAAACCCAAATAAATAGCCACCACGTTTTCAAAACACATTTGTAAAAATTGTATTTGTTGCACTGTCCACAAACCTTTTATACTAAATAAATATCAAACTACATTCTTCTGAAGCATGTTTCTAGTATTTCTTAGGTCACTTCCATATATATTTATGTACCGTGAAACCATTTTTAAAAAGCAATGACTTAGGCAAATCAACCCTAGTTTGTTAAACCATTTCCCTGTTTTTATTTAAAAATCATAGGGTTGTGCTTCTGTATAAAGTTTGTACATCTAGCAATGTAAAATACTGACACATTAAAAAACAAAAATGAAGTAGAAACTCAATCCTTTTGATTCAATGCTCTTGTGTTCAAAAAAAAAAAAATAATGCAAGACTCAGAATTTTGGAGTGGTTGGCGTGCCTCTCTTCATTTTACTTTTTGACTGGCTGCCTGTATGCCGATGACGATGTAGTTGAGCTGTTTGTGCTGCTGCTGCTGCCATAGCCATTTGATGCTGCAAGAATCGCAACTGCTGCAAAAGGGAGGGAAAAAAATATCAAGTTATGTTAAATGCAGGTAGGTGTGGAAAGGTGCTTTTCCTGAGAGTGACGAAAACAACAAAACTGAAAGGGAGAAAGCACCAAGATAACAAAAAGGGACTATACCACATTGAGACAATGCACAGTCAAACAGCACCAGTGGCACAGAAGCCTGCTGAGGGCTTTAAAAATGATTCTTGGCAAACTTCAAAATTATGTCTGTTACTTTGCCCTGCCAGTCTATATTGCAGTAACTCAGCAACTTCAGTTACCATTTTGTTGTATAATGATAGTTTATAGCAATATAAAACCACCCTGAATATCAAGATAGTCAACTATGTTATGCTGACTTTCCTTCCTAAAATAATGGTATAACATTTTTCTAAATAAACAAGTATGACAGTTACTAATAGGAACACTTTTCTGCAGTACAATATTAGAAAGATAACAATTGGCACTTAACTGTCTATTTCGAAATATACTGCAAGCTAGAAAAGTATGTTAATTAATGTGCCACCAGCACTTCATGAAAGATTTTAAATTAAGAAAAGAGTATGGCTTAAATGTAAAAAATATATTCATTGCTCCAAGTTGACTGGCTAAAATGTCAGACTTTTAAATAAAATTTGCTAAATTATTTACCAATTACTGTATAGTCTTAAAAGACAGTAATATAAAACTAAAGCAAAGTATTCTGAGGTACTTTTGGAGCTGAGTATCTTTAAAAATGTAATCAGAGTGAAGTTGCTGGATTACTTGTATCTGTTGCTGCTGCTGCTGAAAGGCAGAGGAGAGCTGGAATCTCTGCTGAGGAAGGCTTTGCTCAGGTCTGTTCTCGGCAGAGCCAAGCTGAGACAACACTACAGAGAGGAGAAGGGGAAAGCAGGCCAGTCAAAAAGTTTGAAGGCTACCAGGGTTAGAAAAGGACAACACAGAAAATGAAATAATAGAAAAGTTAGCAGTATGATTAATCTTAAGTATCAAATCATAGACATTTCAGAATAAATTTAGTATAGTCTCCTGTTAGTTGATGGAACTTTCTGGACAAGGAAAGGGAAGGGAGTGCAGGTGTGCCAAAGCACTGTATCCCTTCCTCTCTTCTCTTGAAGTTCAGTGAAATTTGATACTGGTGCTATTTTGTTTAGAAGACTTTCTTTTAATGTAAAATAAGAGTATGTTATTAAAAATATAACCAACGAAGTAGGAAAGGGGGGATGGCAAATCCAAGCTATCATAATGAGAAACCTGGCAGACAATTATTTTAAACAAAAGATGCTGCAATGAATATCAGACTATGCTATTAACAACACAGGTGGTGAACTGAGATTGCATTATTATTTTTAGAGCTGAGTAGGAGGATAGTAATCAGTTCAACACTCATTTTACAGATAAGGACATTTAAGGCCTACAACATGGTTTAAGTGACACTGACTCAAAGTATTCAGTGGCAAATCTGTTCCTAACATTCTCATCATTTTTCAGCCTAGAGTTCTTTCCACTAACATTACAGGTATTTTAGGAAATTTATAACTTGTGTGGTAAAGGCATATAAATTTACATTTGGAAATTCACAGCTCTGAATTATTACTTTTTGTAAGAATTAGTTATTTGCAAAATAAAGACCTTTATTATTCTATTCTAAAGGACTCTTAAATTCAGACACTGGAATTCTAAAGCCATTATAGTAAGTCTGCAATGATAATAATGTCAAAATATTGGAACACAATCACTCATTCAATCTTCAAACTCTATCATAGCTTTCTTATACACATGTCTTACTGGTTTCAATTAAATATGAAGTTAGAATTACTGT